TTTTTTTTTGTATTTTTTTCCTCATACCTTTCCTGAGATTAATAAAGTACCAATGTACTTTGAGCATTTAACCCCCACCAGAGGGCGCTCTTGATGTGTGAAGAAACCCAGAGCATTGTTTCAGCTGAATTAAAGATGTGCCTTTATTTAACCCTAGCTGCTTTGTAAATGAGGCTTCACGCTTTTTAAATAGCTTTCATAGCTTTATTTTCATTCGCAAGTATTACTTTTTTGCATTTAATATAAATCTCAAGCAACTCTCTTCATTATAAGCAGTGCAATGAAGGTAAAATGAGTTTAAACACCTTGGGTCAAATATTCAGAGCAACAGAGTCCAGGAAGGGTGGAGCAGGTGGAGATGAGTGTCAGGGGTCATTTTTGATAGGATTCAGCGAGAGTGCTCATTGCCTCAGGGAAGAGACTCGATTGGAGGGGGTTACAACGGGGAACGAGGAAAATAAAATTTGCTTGTATGCAGACGACGTGCTGATAGCGCTAGGAAACCCGGAAGAGGGAATCCTTCTGCTTATGGAAATACTGGAAGAATATGGCAGACTGTCCTGTTACAGACTAAACATTCAAAAAACTCAAAGCTTGACGTTCTTTTTTTAACCCCTCAAGACAATTGGTAGCAAGATATAGATTCGGATGACATCAATCTCAATGGAGTACTTGGGGATCCTGCTGACAAAAGACCTTGCATTGTTATATGAAGTTAATTATAATCGGGTGAACGAGAAGATATATAAGATAACATAACTCTTTACAGTCATTGCACAGTCATACATAGTACAGTAGTACAATGAAATTGGAAAACTGTCCTACGTCGGCACTACATATAACACGACACGATATGACACATCACAGCGCAACACAAACAACACAACACAGTATATTAACTTATTAAAAAAAAGAATAAGTGTATTTGTATTGCACATTAATTATTACTGCACCTTGTTATAAATATAAATATTATTATTGTTACTGTTTTTACCATTGTTACCCCGCCCCCCAAAAAAAAGTCCAGGTAGGTAGCCAGTCAGGTCAGCTGTTTGCATTGATCAGGGTATTGCTCTGTTGTAAAAGCTGTCCTTGAGTCTATTTGTCCAGGACCTCAGCAGCCTGAACCTCCTGCCAGACGGCAGCAGCTTAAACACCCGGTGTCCTGGGTGTGTGCAGTCCCGTAGGATGCTGCGTGCCCTCTTGAGACAGCGAGTGCTGTACAGGTCCTTCAGGTAGGGAAGAGGATGTCCAAGGATTTTTTTGGGCCATATTGATGACCCTCTGGAGTGCCTTTCTGTGTGCTGTGGTGCAGCTGGAGAACCACACACCGATGCAATATGTCAGCACACTTTCAATGGAGCAGCGGTAGAAGACGGTCAGCAGCTCCTTCTTCAGGTCCATTTTTCTGAGGATTCTCAGAAAGTGGAGACGCTGTTGGGCCTTCTTTAAGACCGCAGAGGTGTTAGAGCTCCATTGGAGGTCTGTGTCTATGTGCACACCCAGAAACTTGAAACTGGAGACCCTTTCCACGCACTCCCCGTTGATGCTGACAGGCTGCAGCTCGGACTTCCTCCTTCTGAAGTCAACTACCAGTTCTTTTGTCTTGGTGGTATTGAGGTCCAGGTTGTTATCTACACACCAATCTGACAGCCTCTGAACTTCAGCTCTGTACGCAGTCTCATCTCCCCCTGAGATGAGCCCCACCACGGTGGTATCATCTGCAAACTTGATGACTGTGTTGTCTGGGTGGGAACTAACACAGTCATGTGTGTACAGAGTGTACAGTAGGGGACTCAGTACACAGCCTTGTGGAGAGCCGGTGTTGAGGCTGAGGGCTGAGGAAAGAAGAGCCCCACTCTAACTCTCTGTACACGGTCTGAGAGGAAGTCTCTGATCCAGCAGCAGGTGGTAGAAGGAAGTCCGATTTCCAGCAGTTTATGAAGATCTGGAGAGGTGCGGTCTGCTCCACCTCGATCTGGCCAGCAGAGTTAGAGCGATAAAGATAAATATCCTCCCAAAGCTGCTATATTTGTTTGCAGCACTTCCAGTGGAGGTTCCAGCAAAACAATTTAGGGAGTGGGATATGCATTGCTCAAGATTCATATGGGGAAATAAAAGGCAGAGAGTGAGATATGCAATATTGCAGCTGCCTGGTGAGCGGGGGGGGGATATGGCCCTACTGTGCTTTGAGGATTACTATCTGGCAGCCCAGATCAGACCTCTAGTGTGCTGGTGTAACTAAGTATGAGGCAAAATGGAAGGACATTGAGCTTTCTTTGATTGATTTCCCAATACAGTCTGTTCTGGGGTCTCTTGAGAGTTTGCCACAGGCATATCAGATGCAAAATTTCTGTGTAAGTTTTTCTCTGAAAAAATGGGCAGTTGTAATTAAAATTTTTGGTCTTAATAGGGAAATAGGGTTGCTGGGATGGCCAGCGTATCTCCCACGCTTCCTTCCAGCATTATTAGACCATAAATTCAGGGAGTGGTCCAGGCATGGAATCACTGCAGTCTGTAAGATAGTGAAGCATGGGGAGCTGATAAATTTTGAGGATGTGTCAGATTTACGAGATCGGCAGGGAAGATTTTTATCGCTACCTACAGGTTCGGAGCTTCTTCCGGAAGGAAGTTAGAATACCTGACGCAGATGCTAGTGGGGTGATCCAAATATTTATGGATGCTTATGGTGAGAACAGAGTGAAAGGGATGGTAGTGAGACCTGCTATTGGGTATGGTTTGGAGAAGTGAGAAAGCTGAGCAGAAAAGAGGAAAACCTGAGAGAAGATTCTTGAAGGAGG